TTCTTTACTAACCTGCAATTAAAGATAAAAACAATTATTAATGGCATATTTATTCATATAAAATAGATAATAAGGGTATAAAATTGTAATAAAATGTGATTATCAGGCTTCTTCGTCACTATCCGAGTCGCTTGGTTCGGATTTCTCCCATCCCGCATACATTGCCTTCTTCTTTTTGTACTTCATGTACTTCTCTTTTATCTTGGGACAATCCTTTGCTATGTGTCCCGGTTTATTGCACTCAAAACATTTACCTACACGAGAGGGGAACTTGTTAGAATGATTTTTAAAAATTTTATTCATCTTTATTAATCTTGATATCCTTCTAGAGAGGTGTGCCACTTCTTTAGAGACATCTACTTCACTATCCGAGGAGGAGGAATCATCAATTGCTCCTTTGAGCGTAATTGTTTTCATCTTTTGGGAAGGCTCTTCATTTGCTCGAGAGGGCACTTCCTCCTTCTCCTTGATCTTCTTCTCATAGACCTTGAGCTTGCCAATGAGACCATCAAGTGTAAATGTTCTGAGATCATTGACTTCCTCGATAGCCGTAGTTTTAGGCTCCCATGCCGGCGTTAAAGAGTAAAGAATTTTATAATTCTTCTCTTGGTTCTCCAACACCTTGTCAAGGCCATGCAATTCATTAACAATGTTAGTAAATCGAGAAAACATGGCATCAATTGACTCATTAGGAAGCATCTTAAATAACTCATAATCATGCATGAGGCTACTAATTTTGAACTCTTTGACTTGGGGGTTCCTTCATGAGTAACACATAGTTTCTCCCAAATCTTATGTGCGATTGCACATATGGAGACCCTATTGTACTCATTTGGGGTGAGACCACAAATCAAAGCGTTCATGGTTTTAACATTTAGGTTAGCCAAATGCCTTTCATGCTTGGTCATATCTTTACTAGACTTCTCAACATATTTCTTCTCTATTATTTCTAGGATGTCAAGTTCAATGCATCGTAAGTAAATTCTCATCCTAGCTTTCCAATATGCAAAATTATTGTCGGTGAACAAAGAGGGTATAGTGGTGGATTGACCTTCAAGCATATGCACATTCATTGTAGAATCCATTTGGATCTTTTCTCTAAGGTGTTAGACCTAATAAATATGTAGAGACCTTGCTCTGATACCAATTGAAATTACCTTAAGGGGGTGAATAGGGTAATGTGACAATAAATGTGCAATTAAAATTTGTCAATGTAACACACCAACCAAATTAAATGCAAAGGCAATAAATAAAGAAAGAGTTTAGAGAATAGTTATCCAATAGTGACACACGATAAGTTCACGAGGTTCGATCCTCCGACCTACGTCCCGACCACCTCTCCCGATGGTAACTTTACTATCACACCCGGTTTGAAAGCCGGAACTTCTTCACAATGATCTCCTTTTAAGATTTTACAATCCACACGAGTGATCTCCTCGAGATCAATCTCACCACACAATCACAATGAAAGAATGAAAAACTCTCACAACAATCCTATGACAAGGATCAAGTGAAGAACAAGTAAAGCTCAAGGGTTGTGGAGTGTGGATGTGAGAAAAACAAAGGATTAAACACAATTGAGGATTAAGAATTGAAAGTTTGAGCTTAAGAACACTTAGAAAACTAAACTTAAGATTTTTCTCTTGCTAAAATCATTACTGAAGTGAAGAGAGCAATGGGGTATATATAGGAACCCCAAACAATAGCCCAAATTCCAAACAAGTACCAAAATCCTGAAAATCAACTGGTACAAAAACTAGCCATTATAGAAGATCCGGTCGATCGATGGATAATGTCCGGTCGACTGAATATTTGACCGTTGCAGACTCAGCAATCTGGAACTGGTTCGGTCGACCGACAATGATGTTCCGGTTGACTGACCCTTAGTCATCGATCGACCGCGCAATGTAAATCGGTTGACCGCAAGTGACTATTTGCAGGGTCATGAAAACAGCTTCTCTAGTTGGTCGACCGACGGGCAAAGCCCGGTCGACCGAAAACATGTACATACAGGAATTTAATGTTAGTTGAAAATCTGACTTTGTAAAATCAAAATAAAATATCAAATAAATTCCAAAAATTATAAAACTTTAGAAAATGCTTATAAACATGATTTTGAACATGTTAGAACAAGAATTTCTGAAAGATCATTTTCCAATAGTAAAACTGCTCATTTTTCAAAATAGTTCAAAAACAATGTTTTTGTGAAAATGTATGTTGAACCCAATGAGCTTCAAATGTTATCAACTCAATAACTTGTCTACATCAAGCACTTGAGAGAAAGAGAAAGATGCAAATATCTATATGAATACAATTCTTTGGTCTTGATATTTGCTCATATTTTGATGAAGCTTCTCTTATGTATTGTGCTCTTGAAAGCTTTGCTTCAACACATTTCCTCCACCTCCATGGATATCATCGTTGAGCTTGATTCCATCCAATCCTCCAACATTAACACTAACTTGCTTGATAAATTATAATCTACACAATATAACTCAACAAGCAATTAGCACCAATAATGATGTTTGTAAATCATCATCAAAACAAGAGAACTAACAGCAAGTGCTTTACGATCGAGCACCTTCCACTTATCATCGTCCATCTTCTCAGGTTTCCCCGCCTCTACTTGGAGGGGTATGAAGAGATCCTTTTGGTACAAATAGTCTTTCATCTGCATCCTCTAATACCTAAAATTTTGGCCGCCGAACTTTTCAATCCGAAGTATGTTATCTTCAACTGTAGATCCCATAGCAAAAGATTCCGTCTTTCCCAAACCGTATGCTCTGATACCACTTGTTAGGGTACACGCTAACAAGAAAGCCTCAAATGGAGACGCAAAACACACCCAAACGATCTTAGAATCACATAATAGAACCAATAAACACGAATTCAATCACAGTACTCACAGATATAACGTGGTTCACTCTTACGGAGCTACTCCACGGTGCAACGACGACGCCCAATTCCTTTATATTCCTTTCGAGGTTACAAAAATAAAGATAAAAGAGAACACCCTCTCTTGTTCAATACACTCTCCAAGAATTCTTACAAACTCTCTCTCAAGACCTCTCAATGATATCACTTATATCTGTATCTTTCTCTTTCTCTCTCTGCTACTGAGATACCTTACAAATCAAACTTAGGGGGATATTTATAAATTTTCTCATGGGGGCAGGTGAACACTATTTGGGACAGGTGAACACTGTAGCAGGGGGTAGGTGAACATTGTAGCACGGGGGTAGGTGAACACTGCTAGCTCTTTGATGAGAAGGCTATCCACTCTCTCAACAGAGGTAACTGCATTTATTTCACTAGAAGATTACATTGTGAGGAAGATAGTGGAAAGGCACCATGGAAAGTGTTTGATTTGGGTACTCGGTAGGGTGCGGATTTTGGTGCTTCCAAATGCCTCGCATATTGAGAATCCTCAGCAACTATTCACGCCAAGCTTATGTTAGTCTTGTGACCTCATTGACTGGTCATATTTCAGTATTTTTTTTTTAATTCTCGTTTGGAATGCTTGTTTAAAGAATTTTGCTTTGATGGTAATGTAGATTTTTATTTCAATTATATCATGTTTTACACATACCAGAATGGAAAACGCTTTGACAATTAATGACATGAAGTTTGCATAAATGAACAAATTTGCACAAGTGTACAAGTCTCTCACTCATCCGTAGTCTTTCTCATGAAGCTATCAACATATAAACCTCATGAATTTCCACATTAATTTTATAATAAATTTATAACAAACAATTACTTTGAGCAGGAATTGGAGAAACACAACCACCAAGCACAGACTTGCACATGCAAAACTACTAAAGGAAACAATTTGAATCATAACCATGTGAAATGGAAGAAGATATGAACCTTGTTTCCATGGAAAAGCAAGCTATTTTCCCTTCACAATTTATGCCTGAAACTTGCAGCTTTCTATTTATGGAGTTAACTTACAGTAGGAAATAAATGTTGTAATGTGAATGCTTCATTTTTTAGAAAATCATGTGCAGTAATTTTTAGAACTATTGCACTCATCTGTCTTGCTTTGTCTTATTAGTTATTTCTTTGCTTCAACAACGGAAACTGCAGTATCAGAACAAAAATGAAGAGAACTACTGTAAGTGTAAACTGATTTGATGCACTACAGCTGTATTGGTGACATATGAACAAAAACATAATAAACATGTGTCATGTTTACTAAAAAGACACAAATAATTAGTAAAAGAAACAAAAATCAAGCTCAGGTCAGACAACGATATTCCTAGCAGTTTTAGGACCAACAATAGAATTGATACCCTACAGTGATATTGGTGATCAACTTGAATGAAGCACAACAATTATGACCTCTGTTAAAAAGAAAATTGATACAAAAGCGAAAATGCTACTTAAAAAATTAGCTAATGCTGAAATATACTTAAAGGTTGTAAATACACAAGTACATTACAGAAATATTAAAAAGAAAGACAATAAGGAGCTGCATAAATTCACATGGTTCAATGGCTCCATTCACACCAAGTAACAAAAGGGATTTAGTAAATGTATTATGAGAAGTAGACTAATATAATTCTCGATCGCAAATATAATTAAATCTCAAATGATGCATCATAAATCTCACACTAAAAAGATGGTTTCAAAACATTTCATTGTAATCATACACATTAATAGAACTATGCAAGAAGTATAAGTTTGAGGAATAAACATGAAATCTATTATGAGGGTGGTTGAGGTTGCTGTCAACATTAAAGAAAATTAACTATATGGGCTTCCTTGTCTTTTTCACTCCTCAATTAGGAGTGAAAAAACAGGTTTTAATTTGTTTGAATGTACACCAGACAATGAAGCTATATTGTAGCTAAGTGGAATAGAGAAACAATGAGGTAATCGGATATTTACTGCAAAATTATGGTGAGCATTTTACCATAAAAGTATTTGGGCTACAAAGAACAAGCAATAAAATAATAGCTGCTGTTCATATTCACTGACCAGAGAAAAACTTAGGATTAAACATCACAAGGATATATTACCCGTGTAAAGGCTATAGGATTGTTAACATGAAGAAGAAAAAGATAGGATGCTAATATCGCTAGTATGTATCAAAGAAGTTGATGTTATCTATTACATTGTCAAAGGCTATATAAAGAACATGTTGTTCTCAAGCCACAAACAAAGAGTTAAATTTACACTGGATACCATTAGTTGTGCTCCTCCACTCTCATAGTGGAGAAGCGAAATTAAGCACAGTTTTCTCACACTAAATGCTCCACAGATACTCAAACCCCAGCACGAAACCCTACCGTTGAGATCAACATTTATGAATCCCGGGAAAGGCCTGCAAAGAAAGACTGAGATCAGATAAGACAAAACAATAACAAAGTTTTGGAAATCAAGGAATAACAGAGAAAATTAAATTGGCTCGAAGAACTAATCATTTCTTGTTATGTGATCGACACTAATGCATTTGCATTTATTGGTTGCCAGATACTATGCATTAAATCATGAGCAGAAACTAAGAGTATCACTACACTAGAAAAAATTATAACTGGAAGTAAGACATGGAACTGAACATTTGAAAGACAAACACCCTCAAAGAGCCACTATTTAAATGTAATTAAAACATAGCTCCCAGATTCCATTTGGGTAATGCAAAGGGATGCCTTCAAGCTTCTCTTATTAAATGGCACCCCCAAGTTGAGTTCAGGGTGTGGAAAGAATAAAATCTGAGACATTGTTACACATTACCTTTTTAAAGCCATTTTTATTCAATCTTGAGCAAAAACCAAAAAAAATATGAAGCTTTTTCAGTTGATATTAGCCTATTCATCCTTGTCATTGTCTCAAATTACAATGCTTACAGCCACACAGCCATGACAAAAGACTGGGATCAAGACTGGAATCATCCATACATTTTCGAGTATGAGAGTTACATTAACTACACTTATTATAAGAAAGGATGCCATAGATTGTTTGAGTGATGGTGAGACCTAATACTAGAGCTCCTACAATGAGTGAGCAAGTTACCCATGGATTCGCAAAGTATCTCTGCTTAAAGTTGGCTTGCCACCTGTTCCATCTTCTATTGCAATACTCATTGATGTCCTTGGTTACATCAACATCAACATTGTCGACAACTTTTGCAACTATACCTTTTGTCAGTCCATTAAAAAGATCGGCTATCCTCTTATCACTGCTTACCCCCGACCTGATAATACCCTTCTCTCGAAGCAAGGCAATATCTTTGTCATTGTTTACAATGCCATCCATAAAAAACACATAGGATGTTACCTCTTGACCTTCGCCATGTGCTTGCTCATAGGCAATGAGATTCCGCATAACAACTTCAAATGCTTCGTCAACGTCGACTGCAGGTAGGCAAAGGACACCTTTGGTGAAGCATATATCTGTCAATGACAGCGTTTCACTGCACTGGAAAATTACGCCCGCCTCCTGTAGTTCAACTGCCGATAGTGGTTGGCGACTGCTGGTGTGATGATAACCTCCATGCTGTATAAGAGTTTTTTTGTACACATCCAGTAGGTGATGCCCTGTTATCTCGGGTAGGTGAAATATCGTAGAGGTTTGGCTAATATCATATCTTCCCTCTTCATATTTGCGGAAGAAGAAATGTCTGATCAGCTGATGAATGCTTTGGATCTGGAAGACAGAAAAAAGTTATTTGCTTTAAGCAACAGCATAAATTACGATAGCTTTATAAAGGGATCCATACACAAAGTTCAACACTTAACAGCAAATAGTGTCTTCTGCAGGATTTCAATAAAGTTTATCTATCCAGAAGTTATTTATCCAGGTCTTAGTTCAATAGAGCATATATGATGTATATGCAAATAGTGTCTTCTGCATGATTTCAATATGGTGACTGCTTTCTTGAGCATGCACATTACTCATTTATTTGCAAAAAAATCTCATGGGAATGATATCTTCAATGGATAGCAAATTTTGTGCGAGTATCCTCCTTGCATAATGTATCATTTCATACAACGTTGACTGTTAGGTTAATCTTGCATTACGAGGTATGAAAATTTTGTGCAAGTTCTTCTGGAGTTACAGCTGGGACATTTCAAGGTATGAAGATTTAGATTTCATTAACATTCCTTACCTTGTTCTTGCAGAATTTAGACAATATCTCCAGGACCTTCATTGGAATTTGATTATCCAACCTGAGCATATCTACACGAAGATCTTCGACCAAGTATGGCTTCTTGAATATTGGGTCCTTGGCATGATAGCTAGAAGGTGTGCGCTCATATGGTTCAACGGTCGCTATCATGATTTCAATCATGAAAGCCCCATCGTAAATCATGATTTTTAGGAACTCATCATCATTCTTCATCCAAAAGGTGTCAAGATCTTGATAGCAGGCTCTGAAATCGTGCAGGTTCTTCCTCAGGGCTCGTATGATGTCATGGATCGACACTTGACATCGGATGAGGAAGTTCAGTAGCGCCCTGTGTTTATGACGTTCCATACGAAGGAGATTCAGATCTCCATTGTACCGTGGTCCAATGCTGCACGTTGATGGCTTATGGATCTGTGGGCTAATCCTTTTGAATGTGTCTGGTACGTCGTAGATTGAATGACGACTCCAGGCCTCCGCCATCAGGGCATTTGTGCTATTGAGCCACCCTATATCCGATGTCAATCGAGAAACCCAGGCTTCAGACATGTTCTTGAATCTTGTTCAAGAAGGTGAATCTTGGAACTTGGAGAAGACAGGTTTGAGAAGGGAGCTCGAAGGGAGGCGAATGCAGAGGGCTGATATGGGACCGGCGGGTTTGCTGTCAGGAGATGGTAATTGTTGTGAAGGTGCATATGAGGTGATGAGGTTTATCGTCTCTATGAATGTTGTCACCTGGAGTTGAGTTCGTGTCGCTAGAATAACTAGAGGGTATAAAGGGGAGGTTCAGTTAATCTTCCTCCCTCACCAGTGAAATGGAAAATAAAAGCCTCTTTCGGCCTCTTCCTGTTATTAATTTTTCTCTTCTTTTTTTTTCGGTTTTTTTTCTTTTGTTTTGCGTTTGGTTAGGAGAGCAAGAATTTAAAATTGGGAAAGTTGTGTGAAGGCCCTAAAATTTAAACTTTGATGTGTCTCAAGCCACCGTATTATTTCCCTCTTGTATTTTAGCCCCAAATACATTGCATCTTTTTGATTCAGCCCTCTTTTCACTCTACCCCAAGAAATGTCGTTTGAGAATTCCGAAAAGACCCCTCTTCGATCTCATAACTTTCGTCCCATTTGTGATTCAGCCTCATCTCTTTCTACTCTCTCCTTAGCCTCCTCCTCTCCCTCTTCATCTTCTCCTTGGCATCTGCCGTCTAACTCTGTCGCCTTGCCCTTCGCCACTACCGACCTTGAGCTCATGCTCAACTTGTTTGACAAGATCTTCTCCTTCAAACTCGCTGCCATCTACTCCTTTCTCGAGCTCGTCGTCATTCTCAACTTTCGATTCAACCTCCTCTCCTACTTTCTCCTAACCCTCCTCCTCTCCCTCTTCATCTTTCCGTCGAATCCCATCGTCTATCTCTCCCCATCCCCCAGTGCCAACACCACCAACCTTGAGCTCATCCCTACTAGTTCGACAAGATCTTCTCCTCCGATCTCGCTGCCATCTTCTCCTCTCTCTATGACTCAGTCTTGTTTATTTTATTCTTGTAGAAACTGTAAAATTTATGTTTCGATGAGTGAGAACGGTAGAAACTGATGATGGGTACAAATTATTTGGAAGAAGTTGATAATGGTCTTAGTTGAAATTTTAGAGAAGGAAATTTTTTCTTTTTTCCTTATTCCTGATTTTTTGTAATAATTTAAGTTGGGGGAATAGGACGAAGTTTCCTCATAAGCTTGAAGAATGTGATTATCGTGTGACTTGGGTTGTAAGCGTAGAATATGCCTTTTTTCCTCCCACAAACAATGGTAATTTTGTGTGCTAGGAATCTAATGACTTGTAAAGTTAAAAAATCGAGAAAACAGTGGAATTGCGTATAATATAGATAATTGTGATGGATTATTTGGTGAAAATTGGAGATGGTTATTTGAAATTTTTTGGGGATAAAATTTCTTTCACTTGTATGGTTCTCGTGTTGTTGTGAACTATTAAGAATAAAAGTTTACTAAAAAATTACTTTAAAGCAAAAAAAAAAAAGATGGCAAAGCTTTACTAGCACTAATGTTGAAACCCAGGATTAGTTTACCGCCATGCTTGCTTGCAACAAGCCCATAAAAATAACATGGACTTTTAAAGATAAATGCATATGTTTAGGCCAATCCAAAAAGCCCGTCAGTCCGGGCCCGGTCCGGGGTTGGCCCTTTAAAGCAAAAAAAAAAAAGATGGCAAAGCTTTACTAGCACTAATGTTGAAACCCAGGATTAGTTTACCGCCATGCTTGCTTGCAACAAGCCCATAAAAATAACATGGACTTTTAAAGATAAATGCATATGTTTAGGCCAATCCAAAAAGCCCGTCAGTCCGGGCCCGGTCCGGGGTTGGCCC